GCTTGTAGCACATATAATATTATGTATACTGTCATGAACACAAATATAAACATTCTCCTGCCTCACATTCTTAAAATCGCTTGCCTCATGTTGCTATAAAAAATCTTCTGCCTCATATTGCTTAAACTATATTGTCTTGCCTCATATTGCTAAAACAATTTTATGTTTCATATTGATAAAACCATCTCCTTCCTCATAATAAATGCTTTAACAATCTCCCTTCTCATATGGCTCAAACTAGTTCATGTTTCTTCTTGCTACAACTATCTCCTTATCACTTAATAAATGTTAAAACTACTAATATTGCTTAAACAGTCTCCTGTCCCATATTGCTTAAACAATCTTCTATGTCATATTGCTATAGCTATCTCCTGTCTAATATTGCTTAAACAATCTCCTGTATCATATTGCTTTAACAATCTTTTGCCTCATATTGCTTAAACAATCTTCTGTATCATATTGCTTAAACAATCTTTTGCCTCATATTGCTTAAACAATCTCCTGTCTCATATTGCTTAAACAATCTCCTGCCTCATATTGCTTAAACAATCTCCTGCCTCATATTGCTTAAACAATCTCCTGCCTCATATTGCTTAAACAATCTTCTGCCTCATATTGCTTAAACAAGCTCCTGCCTCATATTGCTTAAACAATCTTTTTTGCCTCATATTGCTTAAACAATCTCCTGTCTCATATTGCTTAAACAATCTTCTGTCTCATATTGCTATAGCTATCTCCTGTCTAATATTGCTTAAACAATCTTCTGTCTCATATTGCTTAAACAATCTTCTGCCTCATATTGCTATAGCTATCTCCTGTCTAATATTGCTTAAACAATCTCCGGTCTCATATTGCTATAACTATCTCCTGCCTCATATTGCTTAAACAATCTCCTGTATCATATTGCTCTAACAATCTTTTGCCTCATATTGCTTAAACAATCATCTGCCTCATATTGCTTAAACAATCTTCTGCCTCATATTGCTTAAACAAACTCCTGCCTCATATTGCTAAGACAATATTCTGCCTCATATTGCTTAAACAATCTTCTGCCTCATATTGCTTAAAGGGACTCCACTGAGGTTTTTTGACATGAAGGGACTGGAAATAATTTTTTGAGATTATTACTCTATTTGATGAAGATCTATACTAATAACTTATGTGCAAAATTTCAGATCATTTACTCGCTCCGTTTTTCCAGAATAATTATTATAATAGTGACCAAGAGCGATCAGTAATCACATGTGTCGCCTCATGATGGCCAATTTCATGTTGGGACAAGTTTTGTGACAGACGGACAGACAGACGGACAGTGCACAACTAGACTTGGTACTGATCATTCCTGTAAAGTTTGGATAAAATTGCACCAGTAGTTTATGAGGAGTAGTCCGGACAAGCTTTTGTGTATCTGGCAACACACAGAAAAAAACACCTTTTTATCAAAGGGCCATAACTCTGCCAAAAATCATTGAACCGGAAAACCCGTGCAATATGCACAACAACTTGAGCTACAGATCAATCCTGTAAATTTTCATTGAAACTGCATTAGTGGTATAAGAGAAGTAGTCCGGACAAACTTTAAAAATAAAAATTATTAAAGGGCCGTAACTCTAACATAAATCATTGAACCGGAAAATGCTGACAATATGCACAACTAGACTTGGTACTGATCATTCCTGTAAAGTTTGGATGAAATTGCACCAGTAGTTTATGAGGAGTAGTCCAGACAAGCTTTTGTGTATCTGGCAACACACAGAAAAAAACACCTTTTTATCAACGGGCCATAACTCGGCCAAAAATCATTCAACCGGAAAACCCGTGCAATATGCGCAAGGACTTGAGCTACAGATCAATCCTGTAAAGTGTCATTGAAATTGCATTAGTGGTATAAGAGAAGTAGTCCGGACAAACTTTAAAAATAAAAATTATTAAAGGGCCATAACTCTAACAAAAATCATTGAACCGGAAAATGCTGACAATATGCACAACTAGACTTGGTACTGATCATTCCTGTAAAGTTTGGATGAAATTGCACCAGTAGTTTATGAGGAGTAGTCCGGACAAGTTTTGTGACGGACGGACGGACAGACGGACGACGGAGAAGTGATCCCTATATGTCGCCACTACTCCGTAGAGGCGACACAAAAATGACTCAAAATTGAAAAGCGTTTAAACGCTTTTCACTCAAATCGGACTGTGAATAGCACAAACATACCATTTTCAATGTATTTCTTGCATATTTCTTATTTATATTTTATTTATATTTCTGTTTTAAGATCTCACGTTAACTATTTGGAATTTTAAGTTTTATATTTTAGCCTTATAAACCTCAGTGGAGTTCCTTTAAACAAGCTCCTGCCTCATATTGCTAAGACAATCTTCTGCCTCATATTGTTTAAACAAGCTCCTGTCTCATATTGCTTAAACAATCTTTTTTGCCTCCTATTGCTTAAAAATGTTGCTTAAACAAGCTCCTGTCTCATATTGCTATAACTATCTCCTGCCTCAAATTTCTATAACTATCTCCTGCCTCATATTGTTTAAACAATCATCTGCCTCATATTGCTTAAACAAACTTTTTGCCTCATATTGCTTAAACAATCTCCTGTCTAATATTGATTAAACAAGCTCCTGCCTAATATTGCTTAAACAATCTTCTGCCTCAAATTGCTATAACTATCTCATGCCTCATATTGCTTAAACAATATTGTGCCTCATATTACTTAAACAATCTCCTGTCTCATATTGCTATAACAATCTCCTGCCTCATAATGTTTTAACAATCTTGTGCCTCATTTTGCTTAATCAATTGTCTGCCTCATATTGCTTAAACAATCGCCTGCCTAATATTGCTTAAACTATCTCCTGCCTCATATTGCTTAAACAATCGCCTGCCTAATATTGCTTAAACTATCTCCTGCCTCATATTGCTTAAACAATCTTGTGCCTCATATTGCATAAACTATCACCTGCCTCATATTGTTATAACTATCTCCTGCTTCATATTGCTTAAACAATTTCCTTCCTCATATTGTTATAACTATCTCCTGTCTCATATTGCTTAAACGATCCTCTGCCTCATATTGCTATAAATATCTCCTTACCATATTGCTTAAACAATCTCCTGTCTCATATTGTTATAATTATCTTGTGCTTCATATTGCTTAAACAATCTCCTGCCTCATATTGCTATAACTATCTCCTGCCTCATATTGTTATAACTATCTCCTGCCTCATATTTCATATACAATTGTCTGCCTCATATTGCTTAAACAATCTTCTGCCTCATATTGCTATAACTATCTCCTGCCTAATATTTCTTAAACAATCTTCTGTCTCATATTGCTTAAATAATCTTCTGCCTCATATTGCTATATTATTACTATCTCCTGCCTCATATTGCTTAAACAATATTCTGTCTTATATTGCTTAAACAATCTCCTGCCTCATATTGCTATAGCTATCTCCAGCTTAATATTGCTATAACTATATCCTCCAACATATTGCTATAACTATCTCCAGCCTCATATTGTTATAACTATTTCCAGAACTATCTCCTCTTTTATATTGCTAATACAATATCCTCTTGAATCTATATCCTGCCTTGAAGCCAGTATATGAGGAAAGGTAAGAAAGCATTTGTTGTCATACAAACATCTGAAACAGATCAAAGCATTAATTACCTGATGTTGTGACTTACATGATATATATCTGCATAATAATAAATTTGTGCTGGGTCACTATAACTCTCATCTGGTCATATGATGACTTTCTAGCTTTAGATTGTTGAGACACCTACCAAACTATATATGCTTCTTTTTTGGCACAGGGTATCTGGCAGGAAACACATGGAGTTTTTCTCAACCAAGCCAGATAGCTTCCTCACATAGCACAATGTCATGTTTCTCCTTGCGTTCACATACAAAGAGATTAAATTCAAAAGACTCATAGTCAGTTTCTGACATAGTGTAGAAAATTTCAGGATTAATACACTTATTAATTAATTAATTACTTATTAAGTCACTTATTTAGCAATGTTGGTATTACATTTTCCAAGTAAAATCAGGTAATTTAGAATTTTTTTTGCATCAGAAAACAAAATTAATTTATTCAATTAATTTTAAAATTACTTTGTTAAATTACTGCTTATATCACAATGGCTTCTATATAATATAACAAACAAAATTTAATCTGACTGATTTTTATTCTATTTTAAACCAACTAATTATTTTCTTAAAAAAGTTTATTTTTTGCATTGAATGTCAAATTAGTATAATGTCTAACTCAACAAGAGCACGCCTGTGTAATTATCTCTTGTTTATCTCTTAATAATATCTAATGTATCCAGGAAACGGCTTTTTTTTATTTCTTCAGGTCAAAAAGATAAAAATTATAGATTGAAAAGTTGAAATGCTCATTAAAATTAAGTTAACAATGTTTCAATAGCTGTCACCACAATACCTGTCAAAATTAATTGTATTTCCTGTTATATTAAATACAACGTCTGGAGCTATCTATACAATTAAATCGTTTATCAATTCAAATCTCTCATTAAATTGGCTATTCATGCAAAATATTTTATTATATGACATAATTTGATGTAATTACCCTTAAAAAAATTAATTTATGCATTAAATTTTTTTTTTACTGTTAATTAAACACTCATTCTATTAAATTCTTACTAAGACGTAAATACATCTGATAATTTATGCACAATTTTTTCAATGAAGATGTATAAATTTCAGGTACAAAGAAAAGTTTTCTATTCATTTTCTATACTTAATATCTCTTTGCTAATTAACCGACAGTAAACAGCCTTTTAAAAATACAATATTAATACAAAACTATTAAGTTAAAATTTAAACAAGTGTACGTAAAGAATGACAGATTTTGCGGTTGTTTTTCTTTTTTCTTTTCTTTTCGCTTTTCATTTTAATGATAAGCTTAGGTGACTTAAGTTTTTGTGTATGAACATATTGTATGATGATCATTTGACAACTAGCCTTGGGGGCTATTGTATAGTGTAGAGGTGGCGCCAGCTTTAAATCGACCCTATACTATCCGACTGACTCCATTATATAGTTAGTGTACATGATTTGTTTAACATTAAAACGTTTGTAGTACACTACACAACACACACTAAAGAGGGCCGCAATTTTTTTTGTACGAGCAAAATTAAACAGTCTTATGAAGTGAAACTATGTTTAACAACAAATCATTTGGATACTTTACCAGTTTATATTAAGTGCAAATCACACTGTCAGAAATGGATTATTAATCTTTAAAGCAAGACATAATAGACAAAGCTGGAGAAATTTATAGAAATAAATATTATTTCACGGATTTAACAATAAAACAGTAGGTATATTACATTAGTTTCTAGTAAAATGATGCGTAAAAATCTATATAACAATTACATATAGCTTCTAAAAAAGATATTTTAGGATTTTGTAGACTATGTAAACAAATTGAATTATGAGTTTTCTTTGATAGTGTATATAATTCTTTGCCTTGGTAAATAATAATTTGACAGTTCGTGAAACTTAATACAGTTGAAGTTGAAAGACTGTTGCGATACTGTTAAATCAACTGTCAGAATTAAGTACCTTAAATTCTAGATAATTCAAGAGATGAAACAAAAATGTTGGAGTAATACTGAGTTGTATATAAAGTAATGTACTTTTCTTTGAGCTTAGGAAAAGTATAGCATTTTATTATCATGATGCATTAAATGTTATGGTTTTGTGGATTTGTAAACAACTCTGTGTTATTGAAATATATTATTAATATTGTAATGCAATATACTCAAATACATATTTTCTTAATCAGATTGGTTTATTTTAATTTCTCAAATTATTTTTGATATTTTATTAGATCTAGATTATAAATCTATTTACATATGAAATTATTCAGTTTCTTGAAATTTTCTTTAATCTGATCATTTTTGATATAAATACATTAAGATATAAATTTCAAATATATTTTAACATTTGAGTATAAAGGAAACAATTTTCAAGATATCTTTAAAGTATTAGATTGATAGTAATTTTGTATTTTGGAGTGAATTTTCTATAACTTAAATGTTTAAATTTAACACATTACTGAATTTTACAGTATAATTTGTACAAAACTCATAAAGGGGAAGATATTTAAATCACAGGAAAAATTAACTTAAAATAAGACTTTATGGGAAATTTATTGTAATGCAATAAACAGAAATTAGTCAACACTGTAGCAATATTTCCCACATAATTAGGAACTAAAATAAAACATCATTAAATTCATATTTAGCAGATATAACCATCTATATATGAGCCGTGTCATGACAAAACCAACGTAATGCATTTGCGACCAGCATGGATCCAGACCAGCCTGCGCATCCGCGCAGTCTGATCAGGATCCATGCTGTTCGCTTACAAACCCTATAACAAGTAGAGAAACTGATAGCGAACAGCATGGATCCTGATCAGACTGCGCAGATGCGCAGGCTGGTCTGGATCCATGCTGGTCGCAAACGCACTGCGTTGGTTTTGTCGTGACGCGGCTCATATAATTCATTATTTTACATGCATGTTAAATCAATATACAAATGATATGTTAATAATATCACTTGATACAAAAAGAATCTCACAGTGTCAATTCATATAGACATTTATATTCAACTTGTCCTAGAAAATGTATAAAGTAAATTTAATGCCACAAGTTGATGCTGTTTTAAACACTTTCCTATAATTGTTCAATCTGTGTATTATAAGTCTAGTATGAAGAAAAACAACTTATATAAAATCCTATATTATACTGCATACTTTATTATTGATATTAAATAATTGATGGGCAACAATTTGAAGCCTGACAACTGACAACCAGAAGTATTAAACAGTGTTCACTTTACTTCCCATTTAATGATAACAATGAATGAAATGCAGTATAATCATTTGCTATACCACATGACATACTTTGCACACAGCAACCCCTTTTCTCTTGTAAACAAGGAAAGCTATCTGCCTATAGAACAAACTTAAACAGGCTCTATCCAGAGATAAAAAAACTTGAAACATAAACCTTTCTTTCATCACTAAATTCACATCAATTAAACAAGTTGATAAAAAATTTAAAAGATTAGCCTCAAGAAAAAGAAACAACCTAAAGTTTTATAATGTATGAAATCGCATGGACTATTTTAGGATGTAACTTAATAGAACGTCTGATAATGAGTTAAGTACCCTAATTGTAGAAAATGTTCTTGATAAAATTAACTGGAGTAATTATTCTGATTTAAAATCACTCTTTACTTGCAAGTTCTTCATTTCTGAATACTCAAAGGGCAAAAATGACATGCCTCTAGTTGAGAAAAGAACCGCAGGCAAGCTTGCACAACCCTACAGTCTCTATACTGCCCTGGCTCCTTTATCCTCAGTCAAAACAGGCCAAGTACATCGTTCTAAATTAGCTGTTTAATTATGATTATAAAGTTTATTGAAATAAAACTTCAATGAATGTGAATTATCAGATATGTCCCACAATTCTTGTAACAAAATTTACCAACCATATTGACTTCTTTACTTTATGTGGTTCTCGATCAACAATTCAAAAGACCAAGTTCACTTCAGTTCAATACAATTTACAATCATTATTGAAATAGGTCATTAAGAAAAACATTTAACTTTATAATAAAGGGGGAGAAAATTGAATAACCCACTTACAGAATCTTGTCACCATTAACTAGATTTTTTTATAGTCTTGTAAGTAAATTTGATGTTTCTAAGTGACAACTGATAACTAGTAATTTATTGGCCTGTCAATGACATCTAATATCATACATCTTCATTACCAAATTGTAAATATACGGCTCCCAGATTTAACCATAATAGGTGATAATGTTCAACTCCCTCTGTAATTTAAACAAAGTAGTCTATTAAGATCTACAAAGTCTGAGCATGGCAGACCATTTTACTACCCTTTAAGCTAAATTATCTTAACCCATTACTTCATATACACGCCTTTTAACGCCTTTTTCACCCCCCCCCCCTTTTTTGTTGTCTCAAATGAAGAAAAAATGCCTTATTTAGGCCCCAAACACTTGTTTTTGTTTGAGAAATGTTGTTAAAAAAAGTGACCTCTTTTTCGGCGCGGCCCCCCAACCAAAAGATACATCAGGGGGTTGCCAGAAGGGGGATGTGCCCCCTTCTGTTTGGGGGGTTTGAAGGGGGGCGGAGTCCCCCTCATCGCCAAGAAAATTTTGGACTTGTGAGAGGCTGTAAATGACCCCAGATTGATCATAAGGTAACGTGTAACCAACGCTGAAAAACATTTGACTCTATCTCAATCCATTGAGAATTTGCAGCACTTTGAAATCAATTTTGATGGAAAAAATCAACGCAAAATAGTGATTTTTGGCAATTTTGAGATGTCCCCTCGTTGCCATGGTAACAGAAAATTTAAGCCTGAGCATGTTGTTGCAAGTGCAATTGTCCAGTCAACATTTGTGCCAAGTTTGATTAGTGTTGAAACAGTTTTTATAGTATTATAGCAATTTGAACTTGTAACGGGAGACTTTTCAATGAAAACAGCCATTTTTCACAAAATGCTCATGAAGCAATGGGTTAATATTATCTCCATTTCATCTCTTATCTTGTATGGAAAAACAAGTGATTTTCATGTTGTCTAACCTCTACTCCTTCTCTATTTTGGTTTTTCTTTTCAAAATGTCAAGCTGTCAACAATTTAGTAACTACTGTCAATTTATAAGCGACTGTCATCGAATCATAATAACATCAATCAAGGAAAAATAAAACAGCTTTTGACATAAACTGTAGACTTAGTGGCCAGGAGTTTTCGTTGTCAATATTGATTCAAGCCCTAAAACACTGATTACGAACCAATGTTTGATGAAGTATTTTGGCAATAATTTGTGCATTAATGTAAAAAGTCTCTATAGCAATTCATCATTTTGACGTCGGATACAAAAACGTATTAAGGAGGGTAATGATAAAAAACGCGTTTACAATCTTGTTTGTAAAGTCCATCAGTGACGTGTATATGTAAAACACGAGTTCGTCTCGACATCGTGGCTACATTTCAAGTAATGAAAGAGGACGAGAACACGAATATCAAGTTGTTTTCTCCTGTTTAACGATGCGTTGTTTCAAAAGTTTTAATGAGGTTTAGTGACTTGTGAAAGGCTGTTTAACAATTAACATTCAATATTGACAGATACAGGGAAGTTATGTGATATGCTTGGGACTACTGACAGTTTCGGCTGATAATAAATGGGCTTATTCATAAAATACTTGCTATTTCGACAATATGATGACCATAATAAATGGGCGAGTATAATTATACGTTATTCTTTCTAATTAAATAACAACATTAACTTTTTTTTCCTTGTATTAATCCATTCTTTGAACTTCATTGAATACAGTTTCCAGAAATTTAAATTAGAAAATTTTATTGAAATCAAATAACTTCAATACGAGTATTAATTCTTTCATGAATTCTCACTGTCAGTGACAGTGAGTGAAATGCTATGACTGATACAAAATATATCACACTGATAATATTTTGTATTTCACTAATCAATAAAAAATATAAACTGTTATTCCAAAGTTATGATTTATGTAATGTACTCTTCTCTTAACTGTCACTTGTTCACAATGTGGAGCTGAACTGCTCTCAAGTTTTCTAAGATATTAAATTCAATTTAAATTTTCTCAGACAGTTTGATACTTTCGAACAATACATAAAGTGACAGTAACTGTTTCATATTTATACCAATACAACTCACTCCTTTCTCCATTATTTTACAAATGTCAAATTGAAGCAAAAACAAATAACATATAAAACTTTGACAAGTTTGTATTGTTTAGATCACCTATATAATAAATTTTTGACAAAACAAAAACAAACATCATCTCAAATTTGGGCAACTGTTGCTTAAACACAGCACCAGATGTCCAACGCTTGTATAATGTAACTGATTGACTTTGATCTATTTTCACTTTAAAGCCGTTCATAATTTTCATTATGATAAAAACAAATTCATTTCTTTTCATTTTTCGAACAAATCAAGTCTCTCTTTATATTAAAGTTTCATTTATCTCAATTAGAATATCATAGAGAGATAGACAGTAGTTGTATATATTTCATGACCTAACTGTTATCTTAAAAACTTGTGCATGCCTTACAGTGTGTAATGTAGTGACAAATGTGGGGAGCTGTATTTGGATTATCAGCAGTTAAGTGCAGGTTAATACCGCCTGTCATCAACGTACAAATGTTACTCAGTAACATATTAATGCATTTAAAAATGACTCACTGTGCCCCTATCTTTGTTTAGACCATCGAAATGTTAACAGTGATAATAATGAGCTATTGCCACCAGTACGGAGCCGTTTCGTGAGCCTATGTCACCAGTACGGAGCCGTTTCGTGAGCCTATGTCACCAGTACGGAGCCGTTTCGTGAGCCTATGTCACCAGTACGGAGCCGGTTGACATGAGCCTTTGTTACCTTTACGAAAACGGCTCATGATCGAATCTATGTCACCAGTTATGGAGCCGGTTCATAATCCTTTGTCACCTGTATGGTGTCGGTTGACATGAGCTTGTGTCACCAGTACAGAGCCGGTTGACCTGAGTCTATGTCACCAGTGATCATAAGCCTTTGCAAGGCCATTATGGAGCCAGTTCAGTCTGCCTATCTGTTCTGACTATACAGTTGGTTACTTAACCCTTTTAATGTTTGGCGCAATAATAATTTATCTGTTTCATCAAAATAATTCAGGCCAGCATGCAGTCAATAGTACAGAGTCAAAATAGCAAAAAGCACTTTAGTGTAGCTCCCCCACCCACTCCCCCAGCCCCCTCCCCAATAAACTGGCTAAATTAGTTCTTGTGGGGGGCATAGGCAATATGGTTGAAAGTCAGAACCTGAGTGTGACGATAAAATGTTCTCCTTAATTTTGTCATTATTTTTGTGTATGAAAAAGGCAAAGACTGTCTCTATATATATGTACTATCATAAATATAAATGACACTCTAGCATGCTTACAAACGACCGTCTATCATTGAACTAAGTAGATAATGCACGAGTCTAGCCTGTATCATCACTTACTCTCTAAAACAAATACACTGTTCCTTTAAGTGTGCTTCAATAGTCCTTAAAACCTAGATTTAATAATTATTTTTTTTATTTTGAAATATAAATATTATTTTATTTATTTCAATGTACTCAAATAAGAAAAAGTTACACTGAAGAGAACGCTAAAAATACTGAAAGAGGTAACTTAAGGTTTGATGATCTGAAAATGATGCATCTATTTTAATTATCTAACATTCATGAAGGTAAATTATCTTATTACATAGGTGTTAAACAAATTGTAATCTTAAATGGTATTCTTTAACTCCAAATTATCCTGCTTCAGAAATCGCGCAGTAAACTCACCACATAAAATACATTCATTCAGATATAAAACAGATTTCCTGTAAAATTCAAATAGATTAAATGGAAGGAAAAATGTATCAATTTCAATTTCGGTTGACAATTAATTATAGGGACAAGCATGCACGCACACAACAAACCAATCCTGTTAACAAAAATAAGTGGCGATAACGAAGAGACAATTCGAGATCTGTATTTTCGAGGAACTCACAAAATTGTTATCAATTTGATGATAATGATCCAGGTTTTACTGAATTCAAAAGATTCAATAGTTACAATTTTCAGTATTATGGAATAAAATTTCAGATTTAAAAGAAGTTGAAATTTAAGTCAAGTACTTGCAGTGTTGATTGAATAGCCTATTGAAAAAAAAGGCACCTATACAGTATACGAAAGACCCTGATCCCAGTTAGCAACTGTTTGTGCAGGCAGAAATTCTCACATAATGCAGCATTTTGACAAAGGTGCGGGCTGTTCTGGCAATCTTAAAATTTTTATACTGAATTTCCATAAATAAACAAAAGGGCATTTCTTAATTGAAAGCAGAGAATGTCCATTGAATTAATTAACCTAAGACGCATTTAAACCCCTTCCTGAAGAGATATCCCCAAGTTATTATTGAATACTTTATGTGAGCTGGAATATGTTTCAGATTTTGTTATGTCCTGATCTGGCTCCACGGTGCTTAATTCAGCCTGTATTATAACCCAATATTATTCTGAATGATGGAGGCACCAGACAGATATCTGTTGCAAAATAAAAACATCAAAATCCAAGCTAATCAGACCTCCTCTCCAATCTGGAAAAACAGAATATTAATCATACAGCAATACCTCCATTGGTGTTCCAACACGGAAATTTGTTCAAATATTAAAGCTGTTGCAACTTGTAACTTTTAAAAAAACTGGCTCCATATTTTCCCCCTGTTTAAAAAGATTCATCAAGAGAAACATTTGAATACATTCTGTGGGAGCAAATTGCATTAAGTTCTTTGTGATCCTTCATATGAAAAAAAAACCAAACACTCAAACTATTCCAGGAGTCTTACCATACACAATTCAACCTTAAACAGAGACTTTCTGTCTCTTAAAACATTTGAGGTTTCCTTGTTACAAGTTCTCTCAAATAGCTAACCCCCCCCCCTTTTCTTAATAATCAGCCGTAATTGACAGACAGTATTTTATGGAGAGATAAAAAATTATCAACAATGTGATCTGAGATAGAAATTGTTGAAGACAAGTTAAGAGGTTGGGAGTTTTATTCCTGTTCATAAAAAATAAATGAGGGTGCTACACATTAACGAACAATAAAAACACCTTCTTCAATTGAGAATGACACTATTTTAAGTATTCAATTTGACCTCTGAATGAATTATTACGGAAACTGATAATTAGTTATGTTTTTTGGGGGAGCAACAAATTTGTTGTTACCACAAAAATAAATTGTATACTGCAGTTGACTCATCAAGTTTAATAAAAAAAATTTCCCTTAAGCTTAATATTATTGAATGACTATAATACAAAATTCTAAGGCAGTACAGGTTTTTTATAGATGAATAAAATTTAACTTTAGTAATAAGGCTATTTAAGAAGTCTCAACATGATTATAACCTTAGAGCCATCCATTTAACTCAATAGGTAGAGCGTTGGACTGTGAATCGGGCAAATCGGAGTTCGATTCCCGGACGGCACAGTTCAGCTGGCACATACATGCCATCTGCATAATCATAGGCCACACTGTTTGCTGATACTGAATGGAGAAACCCCAAATGATAGATGGTTGAAATACTGTTTAAACTGCATGATACTAATCCTTAACTTCCCTTTCGTTGAAAATGAATGGTTCTCATGAATTTCTCATTCTTCAGCTAAAAATTGGAGTTCCCGCTTCCATGTACATGTATTTTGAAAATTAAAAGAAAATTTTTTTTTGGAGAGACAGAAAAAAAAATCGAAAAAAAAAGAAAATCGGATTTCGTATATATCAAGCCTTGAATTTCAAAAATTATCTAAATTTATATATCAAATGTTAGAAGATTCCAAAATTTCGCCCGATTAACGTGCTAAGCTTTTGGCTCATTTTATAAGTGTATTAGAGTCTGTTATCTTACTCTCGCCAATACATACTACCATATTAGCCCTCCAGTCTCATTACTACCTGCGTAAATATTTGTACAACTCTAGTGGATAAAAATCGCATTAACTTAACAGTCAGCTCTTGTTTTAGTTTTCATTTTATTACCATTACTACTTTAACTTACTGACATCTGTAAACACTGCAAATGCCCGCGGTTAAAAGACACAATTTAAGTGTTTGAGTTTTGAAGGAGAGAAGGTGGTCTTATGTCTGCACAGGACTTAAACAATTTTGACAAGTTTATCAAATTGATTGAGATGAATTTACTGCAGGAACTAATACACTTCAGTGTGGATTTCTTTACGAATAAGATGTATAAATTATTTTGTTTAACTAAAGAATTTTATAAAAATAATTTGGAATTACTGAGGATGAGTTTAAACTTTAGGTTTGTATGGAATATATATTATAACTTATACTTTATTTTACAACTTTTAAGTACAATGCAGTAATAAATCTTAAACAATTTGCAACAATTACAGAAAATTCAAATTAAATTAATTTTTCCTTTTGATCTCAGGTTTCCTCATAATTTTTCTAAGACTTTTATCTTATTAAATTCAAACAGGTTAATAATTCATACAGCTTTTTAAGATATTTTCTCAAACAATCTTCTGCACTAAAACTATTAATATTCCTTCGCCCTTCATCAAATAAATTTTTCATTGTCAATAATTTGCCTCCTCGAAAAAATATTTTACTCTCATAATCTGGCAACAAATGATATAGTGTGCCTAACAAATTGTAGTAATCTATACAACATTCAGTTTAGAGACTATGTTTTCTTTGGTTATTGTCAGAGTCAATTTGTCAAGTCATTCATGTGCGATAAATATGTATTTGGGAAGATTACAAGTGGATTAGGCCGCGGCTTTCATTGGCCGGTGATATGATGAACTTTAAGTACACAAGAGTATGAATACTAACAAGTGGGCAATGACTCCACGAATAAAGTGGACTGTCGTCTGCTGTCGGTCCTGTACAGATATATTTTAAAGATAATACAAAAAGCTCGGCCCAAAAATGGCTGATTTTACTTTGAGATAACATTGTTGTCTTTTCCTTAATAAAACATCCAAAGAAATTAATATATAGATCAACAATTCACTTTAAACGCTCAGAAAAAAACCCCATACATGCTATGCGTTGATAAATTTCACTGAATGTTTTAAAATGAAAAATGAATAAATCATTTCGTTGCGGAAACCAGCCTCATTCTAATTCTAACAACAATGAATATTTCATCAATATAATTTATTATTTCTACATTTAAAATAAGTAATTAAAATGCATCGTTAAAATTATGAAAATAAAATTCCTTATTGCTGTTTTAATAGCATTTAAATCAAGTGCGTTGTAATCTATCAGTTTAAGTAGAGGTTTAAATATTTTAAACCAATTGTCTAATGGTTTGTTTTTTGTCGTATATTTGCAGATAGACACGTTGACTGCCGGGCTCGATGTTTGCTATCAGTTTGATGCATAGGAATCGTAACACGGATTTCACTTAGACATCTGTCAACAAAACCGACCATTCCTTTTAGATGTATCTAACTACCCAAGAGACAAAAGTATTTCATTATTCTACTAGACAGAAATTAACGCCCTACAATACTGTTTTATCATTTCTATACGGTATGACACAGCAGTGAAGTTCAAATATTTTTTCTCGGAAAAGCAATAATTACAGTTGCCAACAAGAGAACATAAAAAAATCTCATTGTGATTCAGATTGTTACCATTGTGGAGATTTTTTATGACATGAAAACTGAAGTGAATTTTCAAAATTAATTATTGTCATAGCAACAGATGTTTTTATATTGACTTGTGAACATACACTTCTATGACACATCAGTGAATTCAATTACGTATCATAAACAAGGCTGTGTTTTCTTACAAAAAGTAACAAGTGAAATTATGTTATATGGGGAATCGTGACCAAATGAGGGCAAAGAAAAACTTGTTTCAGCATGTCAGGATGAAAAGGTTCAATCCCAGTGGTGCTACGTATCCAGACCCATCTAAGCCACCAGATGGGGAGATCCAGAGTAATGTCACCGATGGATCTAAACGTGTGAAGACATCTACGTCATTTGAAAGCTTGTTTGACAGTGAGACACTGAGTGATTTAACGATCAATGTCAACAATGGTCAACATGTGTTCAATGCTCATAAAATGATTATCGGTCTCAAAAGTGACATACTGGCGGCCATGTTGAATGAGCTTACACCTGGCTCATCAGAGGGTGAAAAACCTACCCTTTGTGTTCAGGAACCAGAAGAATGTGCTAATGTGTTCTCCCGCTTTTTGTATTTCATTTACAGCGGCACAGTGTGGTTACATCGGGACTATGTTATAGCATTGCAGCGATTGGCAGATAAATATGAAATACAAGCGTTATTACAACATTGTGAAAACTATATAACGCAGATTCTAAATAACACGCTAGCTGGCTGTGACATTCCGACGCGTGGATTTCCAGTCGAGACTGTGTGCATGCTTCAAGAGGATGCATTACAATCTACAGAAGTGAAGGACCTTGCATTTAAAGTGCTATGTTTTTGTTTTCGCGATGTAGCCACATCGGAAAGATGGCCAATGTGTTCATGGCAACTAGTCTGTGATCTTCTCAAAAGTGAGTACTGTCAAGCAGAAGAGAATGTAATTCTTACGTCTGCTACTGACTGGATGAAGAAAAATAATCTCAATGACAAAGCAAGAATAGAGGATATATTAATAAACATAAAATATCCGCTGCTTCATAAAAGAGTGCTATACATGATGCAGAAAAATGGTGCATTTAAAAACTTTCCACGAGTGCAGGAGTTATTAAATAACGCTGTGAAATATCACTGTTTCAAAGACATTCCGGAGGCTCATGACGACTTTGTTGGACCTCAATTTACTCCGCGGAGACGATTACCTCCGATATTTGCCGGTGAAAACAACAACTATGCAGTGGAAGCTAGTCCAACGTCAATGAGATACTCGGACACATCAAGCAGAGAGGATGTTTCGTATCTCAGTTCAGCAGATGCCACTTTTACAAATGTGGCTGGTCACCCAAATGACACTGGCTCATTCTATGTTAACAAAGCACCTAGATGATACAGATGAACTTTCAATGGGAAAATAAAATATTTTACAGATTTTCAATTCAAGTTTCCTATATTTATTGACGTTTCTATAAATGTAAAATTTGACCTAATAAATTAGTCTCTTTTATTATTATGTAAAATTTGACATTATAAATAAGAAAATACTGTTTTTGGATAGAACTTGAGTAACTGGAAAGGTATATTTGTTTGCATAAAATTTCATATTCAATATTTAAGTAAAAATTAGATTGATTTTGTTATTCATAAAAAATTGTAATGAATCTGGAGGTGTGCTGCTTTAAAAGTTTTAAATGAGCTGCACCTTGTATGTATATATGCCAATTTATGACTGAAAATAGTGCTTTTATTTCAGTACTCGTTTAATATATGAGTTGTTTGTACAGAGGGTGCCATGTGATAATATAAATTGTGAATTCCTAGATATTTGATGTCAATTTTCTGACTTTGTTAACAAAATATTATAATTCCATTACAAAATATCACAGGTAATGGGTAGAACGACCAGGACTCAAACAATTGAGATAATTGGAATACTAACATAATCTACCTTAAGACACTGACTTACATATTTTCTCCCAATGAACAATTCTATTCTGTGACATAAATAACGTAGCACAGGAGCATTAAAACCAAACCATATCAACGTACAATGTGTTTCTGTAAGCTGACAATAAAACTGTTTTAACGGGGTTCATATAATATAATTACATGGCCTCTTTTGTCATGACAACTCATAACCATTTCATGTTAATTTATCTATTTTTACAACATTTTACAACTTACTGCTACTTGATCTCATTATGCAAATGAGTTGAAACTTTTTTTGTTAATATTTCGAAAAATAATTAAAATTTTGCTGCGTTATCTTGATAATGCAGACTTGATCTTTCATTTGGTGTTTCAAATTTGATTGAAATCTTTAACAAGACATTATAAAAACACCCGTAAAGCTCATAAAGTCATTATTAATATGACTTATTTCTTGCTTAAATTGAAAAAAAAACTATCCTGGAATGTTGGTGATTCAACTTAAAGGGACTTTACTGAGGTCAAAAAGCCTAAAATACATAATTTGAAATTCTTATATAGAATAAGTGAATCACTTAAAATAAATCATAGATTTTTTTTTGATCCTTAGACCAATTTGAGCGAAAAGCATTGCATCATTTTTCATTTTTGAGTCATTTTGCGCGTTAAAAATGATTATTCCAGAAAAAACAGGTGAAGGAATGATCTGAAAATTTGTACACATGTTATTGGTCTAGACGTCATCAACTGGTATATACAAATATGAGAAAAATATTTCAAGTCTGTCATGTCAAAAATCCTCAGTGGAGTCCCTTTAATATTAATATATTTTCGCTTAATACATACTGGTTAATATCAAGGTGTTTTTTGTTTTCTTGCTTGCATTTTCATATGAGAAGAAAACTGAAATGTTGTAAAGTAATAATTGTCATGTCTATTCCAATGTTGAACATAAATGTTCTTGTTAATTTGTTCATTCTTTTTCTCATTTGTTATAAATAAAACTATTAAAACATTTGAAATACTTACATGATATGAATTGTTTTGCTTTTGTTATAACAATTAAGAAATAGAACATAGTATTTAGTACCTCATAGAATTATAGTGACTGATCAGTAAGCCTGAAGACATTAAATGAACAGAAGCCAAAGATTGAGGTCCATTCAACAGTTGGGGCTTACTGGGAGGCAGTCACTATACTGCTGAAGTCATTGTATTATATTATTTAAAGGCCCGCTGCCACTTATTTACAAGCCATAACCCATTAGGAGCTCATACTGCAGTAAGAACAAGTGATTAGCCTTAACTGCCACCAGTATAGCAGCGCAGACTGACCAGGCTCTATACTAATTGCATGCCAATTTTTACCTTGATATACCTTAAACTGATAATGGAAAGTTCCAAAAATGGAAAGTTGGACAAGTCCATTTAAGAAATACAGCAGGTTAAAGGTTAATTACTTTATGATATAATGACCTGTCCGTTACAATCACCATGTACAGAACCAGCCCAGACAGATGTGAAGTTTTACATGAGCTTATATTGTTGGCTACTAACTTTTGGTGTTTTGACACTGAAAATTGTTCACTGATCTAAACTGAAAGTGAAACAAGTCAATTACAGACATAAATTAAAAATGCTGAAAGCCGGGCCCTTTGAAAACCGGAATCCTCTGAAAACCTGATGATTTCCAAAGTCCCATATTTTTCCTTATAGGGTCGTTGAAAATTCGAACCCCTGAATTACCTCTGAATTATGAAAACCGGATGATTTCCTATGGCTAATAATGCTTTAACATGCATTAAAACGTCCTTTGAACAAGAGCACCGCTAGGCGGAGCATTATATGCCCGAAAGTGTTTTTTTTTTTTTTTTAGTAAGGATGAAGCATTTGTAAGACATGGGAAATAAATAAAGTATTACCTCCTTAAAAAAGAAATCCTCCTTTATAGCTGAAGAACCTACATATATATATACAGTTGCTGTTTCCGAAACACCTCCATCAAGTTGTTATCTTGTAAGTAAAAATGCTACTGCACGGATGGACGGAAAGACGCAAGGGGTATAACATAATATAAGAAAATTTTTTAGGGCACATAATTTATGTACTAAATATAAGTGATCCTCCTATGAAGTTTGACAGTTTTACTGTTAACAATATTAAGGTCATTTGATATTGACCTTTGACCTTGTGACCCCAAAATCAATAGGGGTCTTCTACTCAATATGGACAATCATCCTATGAAGTTTGAATATTGTGGGCCAAATTGAACAAAAGTTACATTTCGGAAACTGTTTTCAGTTTTAAGGTAATAGTGACCTTGAATTTTGAACTTGTGACCCCAAAATTAATAGGGGTCTTTTACCCAATATGGACAATCATATTATAAAGTTTGAATATCGTGGGCTAAAAGGAACTTAAGTTATGCTCCGGAAACTGTTTTAGTTTTAAGGTAATAGTGACCTTGACCTTTGACCTTGTGACCCCAAAATCAATAGGGGTCTTCTACCCAATATGGACAATCATCCTATGAAGTTTGAACACTGTGGGCCAAATAGAACTTAAGTTATGCTCCAGAAACTGTTTTCAGTTTTAAGATAATAGTGACCTTTGACCTTGTGACCACAAAATTAATAGGGAGTTTCTACCCAATATGAACAATCATCCTATGAAGTTTGAATATTGTGGGCCAAATGGAACTTAAGTTATGTTCAGGAAACTGTTTTCAGTTTTAAGGTAATAGTGACCTTGACCTTTGACCTTGTGACCCCAAAATCAATAGTGGTCTTCTTTCCAATATGGACAATCATCCTATGAAGTTTGAACACTTTGGGCCAAATGGAACTTAAGTTATGCTCCCGAAAATGTTTTCAGTTTTAAGGTTATAGTGACCTTGACCTTTGACCTTTTGACCCCAAAATCAATAGGGGTCTTCTACCCAATATGGACAATCATCCTATGAAGTTTGAATATTGTGGGCCAAATGGAACTTAAGTTCTGCTCCGGAAACCAAATTGCTAACGGACGGACAGACGACAGGGGGTATAGCATAATATGCACGAAATTCTTTCGGGCATATAAAAAGGGTTATTAAACAGTTATAAGTGTCCATACAGTTTCAAAAGAAATACTTAAGAATCTACATAAATGTAATACATCTGTATTTCCTTGCCAATAAAAATTGACCTACTTAATAAACAATTTACTTTTCTGCCAATTTATTCATTTATTTTCTGACTTTTACTTCTATTTTCAAACTTATATGCATTTTCAATCTTCTGAACCATGTAATTTCTTTAAATGTTAAAAGAAGAAGAATAATCTGTCTCTAAAATTACCCATCCATTGTGATTGTAGGAAGTTTTTTTCACCAGTAAATTAAGATCAGATATAATTGTGTCTGGAAACAGTATCCTTTAAAGCTTTATCAGTGACAATAGTGAATGTTTGATTATATCATATATATAGTTACCTCAGTGCAGTAACGACTTAACTTCTATTAAATTCTATAAAGAGTTAACCTGTTATTGCACTACTGTCACGATATAGATACAGCCGCTTCCAACAAGATGTTTCACGAAATCAACAAGATTCTCACCGAGACTGCCACTAACATTCCTCATAATATAAAGATCCTTTTATGGCATTACAGGATGCGATTTACATTTTTACCTCATTTAAGCATTGTAGAAAGAATATAAAACAGCATTAAGTAAATTCTTGCGAACATTCTATAGAGGTGAGTCACGAGAGAAAGTTTTACGAAAAAAAAAATCGTAATTTATTGAGAGGGGAAAATAATTTGTCGAACATAAACTACCTTATATTGTCAGGTTTCCGTATTTGGAACATAAATTCTGCAAAGATTTGGATACATTGAACGCCCATAAGGAAAAAACTGAGTAATTAAATCATGAATCACCTGATTACATTAATATATCAAATATAATATATTATATGATATAATATATAATTCTAAAGACAATTGTAATCTTTATTAATCAAAATAACTTTGTGCACATGTGGATTAAACATAAATTACAAATATAATGTAAAAGGACTATTATGTGATGTAATATTTTGCTAAAAAAAATGCATTTAATAAATATGTTTATCACAAACTATTTAAGATATATTATTATTGCTTAACTTGCATTAAAATAAGGAAAATTTTGTCTCCTGAAATAACTTGGCCTTGTGACATCATCTCTTACATCATATTAATTTAATATTATGATGGCATATGTCAATATTTTTCTCCCTTTAAACCTTCATTTGCCCCAACTGAATTCCTTCTTTGTAAAACAAAAGATACTGAATTTAATTCAAAATAAATCTATTGAATATTAAAGTGCATTATTTTCCTAATTAAATATCTCTTTTTTGTATATAAATATTCAGAAGCTGTATTTATATCATTTATACTCATTTTAAATCATACTTATTCAGATATTGATCCTATTTTGCAGTCATGGTTCAAATAACAAACCATTTCCTTTTATGTAACAGTTCAATTTTGTGAGACAAAGACGGCCATAAATAACACCAAGTACAGAGTGTTATAAATAATGCATAAAATAATATGACAGCAGTGGAAATTAATGTGAAAATTGCATTAATTAATCCTTCTTACTCTATACATATCAGTTAATGTAATTAAATGTCAGGAACCATACATCAAGTTTGGCAATAAACACTTGTCACTGGCGAATACAACACTAAATAATTTCTCATCTTTCACTACACACATTTACATGTATATACCAATCCTCAGGTGACAAATATATTATGACCATTCTCTTACAATGTTTTCACTTAGAAAAACAAAAGAATTAATTTTTGCTTTTATGTTTTACTTCTAATTTGTAATTGACCATTAGTACTCTTTTAAGGGAAAAAAGTTCAATACACTCAATAGTATAGTCTGGTAAAACTGGACAGATTAGTTGCCTGGTGTTGTCTGACTCTAAATTAGTGGCAAAAGTATAAAATAATTTGATTATTATCTCTGGCAAAGGAATAACTAATTGTCTCTATCATAGGAATGACATAATTGCCACAATCTGACAAAGGTATGACATTTTGTCCCTAATAAAGGTATGACATTGTCAATAGCAAATGTATGACATTATTGAACTAATGACATTATTGTCCCTAGCAAACATGTGGCATAAATGTCCCAATCACCTATCAAAAGTATGAATATATAACACCTAGCAAAAGTATGCTCTTACCGTTCCTAGCAAAATTCAGTAATGATATTACTATGCCTGGCAAAGGTATAACATTATTATTCCTAGCCAAGGTGTGAAATTATGGTCCCTAGCAAAATTAAGTAATGACATTATTGTCCTTAGCAAAAATGTGACATCATTGTCCCTAGCAAAGGTATGACATTATTGTCCCAAGCAAAGGTGTGACATCACTATCCACAGCAAAGGTGTGACATCATTGTCCCTAGCAAAGGTATGACATAATTGTCCCTTGAAAAATTAAGTAATGACATTAGTGTCCCTAGCAAAGGTGTGACATCATTGTCCCTAGCAAAGGTGTGAAATCATTGGCCCTAAAAAAGGTGTGGCATTATTGTCCCTAGCAAAGGTGTGACATCATTGTCCCTAGTAAAGTTATGACATATTTGTCCCTTGCAAAATTAAGTAATGACATCATTGTCCGTAGCAAAGGTTTGACATCATTGTCCCTAGCAAAGGTGTGACATCATTGCCCCTTGCAAAGGTGTGACATTATTGGCCCTAGCAAAGCTGTGACATCATTATCACTTGCAAATGTGTGACATTATTGTCCCTAGCAAAGATGTGACATTATTGTCCCTAGCAAAGATGTGACATAATTGTCCCCAGCAAAGGTGTGACATCATTGTCAATAGCAAAGGTATTACATTATTGTTCCTAGCAAATTTAGGTATGCCATTTATGTTGTGGGGCCTAGTTAAATAAGAGACAGCATTTTGTTTTTCCTAGTAAAGGTATGACATTATTACAATTACACATATTATGGGATATCAACA